AAACTGAACTGAACTGAAATGATGAAAAACGTTGCTCTCATTCGCAGCCTGGAGTGGCTTTGCTGCAACCGTAAGTTATGTCCCCACGTGTCTCTAGGCGGAACCCGGGAGCACAGGTCGTCAAACCTAAGACCTGATTTACGCTTGACGATCTTAAATGTCTCAATTAGGTCTCCTCTAATCCACCTCCGTGTGAGGCAGAACAGAGATAAATCTGAGCCACTGTTCATAGCTCTTCCCCGATAAGCGCACAGCATCCAAACGCGCCTTGATTCAAAAAGTTCAAGGTCATTTGATCGATCCCCATTATCCAAGCCATGAAAAATTCCAACTGGAGACCACTGTCGCTCAAAAGTTATTTCGCTTATTAAAGACCCCAAACATAACGCCGGTTTCCATACGGCAGTTGACAAACAAAAAAATTAAAGGGAAATTTATTTAACAAAAAAAATAAATGATAATTGGTTAATACGTATGAACGAATTCTCGCTAGGGAAATGTACCCCAACTAAATCTATAAGACTGTAACCTCCGTATAACTGTGAAAAGCTATTCTTAATACTATTCGGAAACTTTCAGCCTTAGATCATCGACGAATACGAAATAAAACTAACTTTTTGTCAGCTTTCGAAAAGTGTCCCATAGTTAAATTTCAAAATGAGCTAAACTCCGTCAATAAGAACTGCACCTTCCATATAACTGTCAAAAGATATTCTAAATACTATTCGGAAACTCTCCATACTGCGTTCCCGTGGACTTATCCGCCAGTTTGCTCCCATCCACGGGGTAACTCCACCTTGGAATTGGCTCGACAACGAAGTAGGTAATGCCACCACAAAATCCGATCTCAAGTTGAATCCATAGCAAGATCTTGGTCCCTGAATAGAACCCGTAACTCAAAAACAAAAAAAAACAAATTAGCGTGCCCTAAAAGGGCCGTTTTCAGTCACTTTGGGCTTTTGACGTCCACGCTCATCGACTGAGGCAATGCACACAAACGTATGCTTCCTCTTCCCTGTAAGAGGCGCAACTGTTGTGTGTTCGGCGTCCGCATATCTGGCACTGGATTCATTGTTGCTCATCATCAAAATCGACCGTATTCCACGCAGATTTGCAGACACTGCAACAGTTGGCGTTCATCGGTTTGCCTTCTGCGTTTAGCGTCCAGGTTTTACTTTGCTGATGTCGCTGTTGTCAGTCTTTGGCACACAGCATGCTCCAGTGGGTCACCTAGGATTATTTCGTCGTCCTCCTCGTCGACTGATCGACTCACTAAAACTGATTTCCGCTTTTCAGCCGAACCGCGTGTTGAAGCTACTGGTGGATTATTGGTTCTCACCTTGACGCTCGTAGACGGAAGACAGGTACACCTAATCTCCGTAATCTGTGTTGCCAAGCTCTGTTTATCGAATAATATCTGGATGTCCGGATACTTCCCTATCATAGCTGCTACACGTCGAAGTTGATTGGATCGAAAATTGTAATTCACTGTACCTAAACTATTCAAAGAGACGCCCAGCTCTTGAAGGATATCCTCTATTTGAGCTAACTTTGATGTCTTACCCATGACGTTTCTTGAGGCCGCTATTACCACGATGGAGGTCTAATCTGAATGCTGTTTGCTGCGGTTTATGATCCATTTATCTAGAGTAAGATTTTGAATATTCCAAATAATCAGATCGAATACCCTGGGTACATGCAAGCAGGGCAAAAACCACTGCGTATAGAAATAACACTCACATCTCGTTTCCCCTGCAGTAACTGCTTTATAACGCTTGCCCTTACTATCCACGACCATGAAGAACCCTCTCTCGTGACAAATTCGTTCAATCTTACATGACTTCCAGCTTCCTAATAATATATTCCGTACAAATTGTTACTCGTATGAACAACGATCTAAACGACTGCTTGCCAAGGCGAATTCCATGCTTCACTTCCAGTAACTTTACTGGTTGTTGCACTTTCTTAAATACATCCAATAATGAAGACCGAGGAGACAAGCCTGTCTTGACCTGCCTATTTTCGGTCTCCATTCGTTTGGTAGTTAGGTTTCCTAAGGTCAACCTAGTCCTCAAGGCATGCCCTGCCCAGTGCTCTCAGTATGGTAACCAAGTTCGGGGTAAATAAACACCTGCTTCTGTTCTACGACTTTCTTCGGCGGCTAAGAATCTGCGAAACGATACCTCATAATCACATTACACGATGTTTCGCATCCAATGAAAGATGCGCTGCTTTTCGAACGTTGGCATACCAGATTGCTGGTTACGTTTCTTCTTCAGATCCTTAACCGGATGGAAACGACAAATATCACATTGGAGGACGGAAAGTATGCTGAATCGAGTTGTACTGAACCAAGCTTCGATGAACTACTATAGTCTTGCAGTGTGCAAAGACTGAGCACAAAGCTTGATGGCTCCCACAGCAGATATATGGCTCTCAATGCTCTCATTCGGCAGGATAGAATGGAAGAAACTTCTTCCTAAACCGGTGTCATCTGCAAGCATAGCATGCCAAAGCACGTACCCACCACAATTTAGCTGATTTGTGGCGTCCGCTAACAAAACGTCATTAAACCTGGCGCCGGAATGCAGCATAATCTTAGGAACAAAATAAATGTGACGAACGGCACCTTCGTTCAGCCCTATCATAACCTCTGTCTGATTCTCCAGTCTATCCCTGACTTTCACCGAATCGCTACATGAATCCGACTGAGACCTTCCATGACGTAAGGATCTAATATCTGCCGTAATTAAGGGTATCTGAAACATGTGTGTGGCGAACTCCCTTAGCTCGCGAGTACTCCCAAAAGTGTCCATCAAAGTTCGCACTTCCTCTTCCTGTTCTCTAGATAGACGACGATTACTTATATACAGACCCCGCTGACCCACATGGAAGTCATAGTTGTGCACCAGACAACGTTTCATCACTCGGTACTCCTTCCCGACCGCGCGAATTCTAACGAATGCCGGACAGTCGATATTTTGCAGCCTAAAATGGGTTAATTACATTAGAAATGAGAGGCATAATTACCTGGTTGCAGTTGCGCTGCGCCTTCAATGATGTACACAGCAAAATTTGATGAAATAGTACGGAAAACGCTCAGGCAGATTCAGTTTCCGACCAAAATTTCTTTCGTATATCAGTCGTTCGGCTGTCATTGACGCATAAACACAGAAGGAAGTGCAAGTAATCCTTTGGAATTCACGGATGTCCTCCAAGAATCCGTCCAGCGATCCATAGGAATTTTTCACCATCCGTTCAAAAACGACCGTATGGTCAACATGAACCATGACCGTGGAAGTAATCGTCGCCATTAGGTTGCAGTATTTATACTTTCCGGACAAAGTTTATTAAGGTTAATAAATACAAATTAAATTTAACAAATCACTCAGAATAGGCCAAAAGCAAAATCTGTTCCATTTAGGGTGAATTCAACATCGCTTTTTCTAAAATACATTTAAAAATCGGTTGTTTTTAGAAATCCTAATAGTTGGGATGCCACGCCACTGGCGTCTATCCTCGGGAATGTTGCCAGAATAATTAGCATCGCTAGTCCCCGGGCAATAATTTCCAGTTGCATCCTCCACGAACCGACAACAAGAAACCATCAAGGATCCGGGATCATTTGGCGCCAGCCTCGAACCCAAGAGTCACTTCAAGACTTCAAGGCTCCAAGAAGCAAAGCTGAGCACGTCAAAATTTAAACCTCGCGCCAACGTACTGTGAATAGATCATTGAAGACCGAGTGGGAGGTTTACCTAAAATCCGACTGTGCCTTAATGAATAGGTGTAGATTATGTTTTTCAACCGTTTTTGGTCACCGGTTGAATCTTTGCTTGAAAGTTTCGCGCCCCAGTTAAATTCTCATGTGCATTTTCCCGCGCTTACCTTGGTGACACGGTTCCAACGCATTTTCAGAAAAAATGGCTATGCATGTACCGAAAGCTCCAGGTCTTATGTCTATGTTGAAAGACGGTGCAAGGGTTAGTTTCAAGTGCAAATTTATCTGTTTTTTAGTATTTTGAAGGTCTAGAAGAGGCGGTATTCAGAAATATCGAGGCGTGTCTAGCATTATCTAAAACAACCCGTACAACTCTGGGTCCTGCTGGACAAAATAAAATTGTTATCAACCATATTGGCAAACAATTCATCACAAATGACGCGGCCACCATTCTGAAAGAGTTGGAGGTTGCACATCCTGCTGCTAAACTTCTTGTTATGGCATCTCAGCAACAAGAACAAGAAGCGGGTGATGGCACAAATATTGTTTTTCAGCTGGCTGGGTCGTTGCTTGAACAGGCTCGTGATCTGCTTCGAATGGTTAGTGTAATTTCATTATTCGTATTGTCTTCAGGGACTTTCCGTCGCCCAAGTCACCGAAGGGTATGAACTGGGGAGAGAAAAAGCAATGGAAATTTTAGATGGTGAGTGAATTGAGGACCACCCTTATACCTCAGACTTGGTCGTGGAAAGCGTATCGGATCTGAGAAATCATGATTCTGTGAGGAGAGTTATCAAGACCTCAATAATGAGTAAACAAGTTGAATTGGCTGATTTCTTGTCGGATTTGATCACAAAAGCATGCAGTATGTCCATTATTTTCACTCGTCATTTATTCTTTAGTTTCCATTCTCCCTCAAAAGTCTCACTTTAACGTCGACAACGTCAGGGTCCTAAAGGTTTTGGTGAGTTTTTCTGAAAATATTCGTGCTTTTCTTTCAATGTGTCATCTTCCAGGGTAGGTAGTAAGGTACTGTCATTTCTTTGTAACTGAAAATTGACTGCAGAAGCGACCCAGGATAAACTTGGTTATTGTACCTTCACATAGGGATGATATAAGGTAGCACTATTTCGACGTTCTCTATTCGCCTGTCTGCTAGAAAAGTAGTATTCGACTACGGTAGTTCCATTAGTTATTTATCTTATCATCATATCCCAATGTTAATTTGCTGCGCATTATTCATTTACCACGTAATCTGGCGGGGCCATGTGTGGTTCGCCACTCCTAGTCCCGGGGCTTGGGTTCCCGGTTTCCATTGAACAGGTCTACTTGCCCATAAGGTTTATCCCGTCTGTGGTTCATCACACTGAGGTGTGTCAGAGAAGCTCAGATTATGAAATCGCTGTCAACGAATTTCGGATAGTCGACTGGGTAGATTCGATTNACGTAGCTGTGACGAATGTCTGTGCTAAACGGAAGTCGCCGCGTTTCCATGACCACGGTGGCAAATCATATAAAGACCGTATCATAATTTGATCATTCACCTCTGAAATTTGCCATTGTCTAGAATCGGATAAGGCTACCGATTTTCGATCTATGGTCATTATTATCATGGAGCTGACTTGTCCTTTCCAAGGAACCAGCCTTAAAGTAAGTAGTAATGGCGGCGGCATTTACAAGCTCCTTTATGCGTGGAGGACACTGACGGGTGAGTGGTGCATTGGTTAGTCGCTATCACCATATTTCCTCACAGGGCTGAGAAGACCAGGCAGATTTTTATTCTGCTTGTCTTC